ACATTTGATACTTGTTCGCTACTATTTTATAAAATAGTACCCAGGCTGTACGGCGTGGACGTCAGTATCAGTCCTGTCTCTTATACACATCTAGATGTGTATAAGAGACAGTCTGGCAACACTACAAAAATAAAAAAAAAATAAATTAAAAAAAAAATAACAAAAATCCTTTCCGGTCCTTCCCTTACCTCAATTTCAAAAGTCCGGCCATACTTTTCGTCCGGCAACTCTACAAAATCAAAAAAAAAAAAATTTATTAAAAAAAACAACTTGCTGTCCGGTTTCTCCTTATCTACATGACTCCATTTTAAAAAGTTCAGTCATAATTTTTGTCCAGAAACTTCAATAAAAAAGAAAAAGAGATCATCAGATGATTTGTACTATGCAATTCATCTGATAATCTGTGTCGGACAGGCGGACTATAATTGGCAAATCTGCAAATCTGCAAATGTTCTGCAATTTCGTAAAGTACCGCAATTGTACTGCAATTGAATTGTGGTACTTTAGAATTGCGGAATATTTGCAGAATTGCGAACAATTGCGAATTGCAGATTTGCGGATATTTAGACTTCAAAATTCGCAATGTTCTGCAATACCGCAAATCGCAATTATTCTGCAATTGCCTATTTGCAGCGTCATCCTTAATGTCAACCTTCCATGGAATTAGATCTTCAGCTTCAAAATCACCATTAAAAACGCGATTTTTCTTCTCATAGATTGATTCCCTAAGTTCCGCAATAGAGGTATCTGATCTTCTAGTAATTTCAAAACTGTTTTCAACCTTTGTACCTACAATATAACAAAAAAACTTTATGCTGGAAATATAATTCTGTAAAGTGATAAAATGAATTTTAGAGAAAGAAATATTTTTTTTTTTGGAAAAGTTTTGAGAAAACTTGAGAAAGTTTGACATCTTTTTAAATTCATCATGAATAATAAAAGACTCTTGATCAATGGCTTATAATGACGATTATAGGTACTTCTAAAAAATAGAATTTATCAGTAAAAAAATTTGAATTTACATTTGATTATCAGTAAAAAAATTTATGTAGAAGAAATGATTAGTGTTCATCAGAGTATTTATCACGAGTATTTATTAAAAAAAAAATTTTCAGTCGTGTAAGTACCTTTTTTTTGATATGGGGGTGCTTTATTTAGTTAATTTAGTCTTACTTAATAAATTAGTCTTTGTGATACTAGAAAATCAGCTGATTATTAATCATATGGTTAAGTTAGTTTTATTAGATAATCAATTTGATCAATGTCTAGTTTTGCGTTAAAAGCTTTAACTTGACGTAGTAAAAAAACCTATTTCCGTAATAAAAAAAAATCTACTTTGCCTATAAAATAATTACAAGTAATATAACAGATTTTTATTATTAAAAGAGCATTTTTTTTAACGAAAATTTATATATTATGATCTTTTACGTTTGGCTATATAATGGCTACTATACAGACTTCTACTCCCCCAATTTCATCTATACAACCGACTGCTTCCTTTCTGCAATGCCTCATTTGTAAGAAAACTTTTAAATCTAAACGAGGTTTAGTACAATATGAAGCAATTATACACAAGTATAATATTTCCCGTTACCGATTTTAAAAAAACTTCAATTTTTTTTAATCCATTGCCAACTACCCTGTAAATTTACTAGAATTGGAAAGAAATCTTTCACTGTAGCTTGCAGTGAAAGCCAATTTTTCCCTACTTTCAATGGTCATATACATTATTATTCAAAAAAGACACGATTTTATAAGTGTATTTTTGGAGGAGAAAATACCTCAACTAAATTAGCAGAGATTTTTAATAACAAAAATTGGGAAACTAAATTTTATCCCAGAAATGAATGTACTTTAGTGTTAACTAATTTAAATGATATAGACAATGAGGAAAGTCCTCTTGTATTGGAGCGAAAACTTGCAATTAAATCACAAAAAAATTACAATCATATAGACGAGGAGAAGTAGTTATTGAATGAATATCTAAACAAAAAAAGGATGCGAAGGGCAATAAATGTGAAGGTGGGTTTTTTATCATGCATTTTTGGGTTACAAAAAAAAGGATTTTATAGAAAAGTTAAATAAAATGTAAATGAATTACTGTAAATCTGAATTTATGCTAAATTTTCTTTTTTTTATTCTGCTTTACAATTACGTATCAAAAAACAAAATTACTAACTTAAAAAAAGGGTTTCATAGTTTCATCTATTTTAAATAATATAATTTTATTCTATAATCAAATGATTAAATATCAATGAATCAGGATTTATAAACTCAAATTGCACAAAATTGTCAAATTACATGTAAGAAGCTATTTTGTTTATTGTATAAAATTTATATTAAATACTTATTTATATTGTCAACTAGCTGTTGAACCCGTTGCTCCGCAACGACGTCAGATGTGATGTCATCGGTACGACGGTTAAATGTTTTAACGATCAGTAGTACAACATTTAGGTGGCTTAGCAATTCGAGTCAAAATGTATCAAATCTTTCGAATCTTATAATAAAGTCGCTGTCATATGTTGCATTACTCAACAACATTTCGCCATAGAAGTATTTAAAGTGTAAAATTTTCTTTTGTTAACACTTAAACAGTATTTATTGAAAAATTTCACTATAGACGACATTTTTTGTTTGGCATTTCTGGTCACCATTAATAAGAACCTTAATGCATTGATATGAAGTAATTCTTGAAAGGGCAACATAAAGTTGACCATGTGAAAAAACCGGTTGTGGTAGATAGAGACCTACACGGTTTAATGTTTGGCCTTGTGACTTGTTGACTGTCATGGAAAATGCAACACGTATTGGAAACTGGCGACGTTTTAAAATAAAAGGTAAATTGGTATCCGAAGGTGTTAATGATATTCGTGGTATGAAAACACGACTACCAATATGTGGACCTGTCATAATTTCTGCATCGATTACTTTGCTGTAGAGACCACGACAAATTAATCGAGTCCCATTGCAAAGTCCTTGAGAAGGGTTCAGATTTCGCAAGAGCATGATTGGAGCTCCCACTTTTAATTTTAATTCACCAGGTGGAAGGCCAGGAATTCTCAATGATCTTAAGAATTCTGGTGAGTATAATTGAGGCTGTTCCATGTTGTTATCATCTGTTAAATCCACGGAGTCTGCACTGGGATACACATGAAATTCACCTGGAAATTGGTTCATTATTAGGAAGGAGATATTTTCAACATCATCATTTTTTGGGGTCAAAATAGCTCTGCCAACCATATAGTTCACATTGCTAAAATTTTCGATTAAGTTTGGATAGACAAAATCAATAAGATCTGATAATTTCTCTTCAGGAATCACCATATCTGAAGGGAGGTCTATTATGTTTTCTGTATCTGGAATAACAGGATATTTGCCATTGCCAATTTTCAAAAGAAATTCAGCAAAATTTCTTTGTCTTAGGTTTTCATGGATATCATCAGTTTGGCAAAGCCTCATATTAATTGACAATTTCATTACTTTCATGTGTCTCCACAAATATGAGCAACTTAAGCTTGCAGAGACAACTTCAGCATGAAAGGCATGTGGTATAACTGGGAGTACTTGACGAAAATCACCTCCAAATATGAAGACCTTACCACCAAATGGTTTGTCCACTTGAGTAACATCACGAAATGTTCGATCAAGTGCCTCAAATGCGAATTTATGAATCATGGGGGCCTCATCCCAAATAAAGAGCTTAGCTAGAATAATCAATCTGGCTACCTTGCTATTTCGCGAAATACTACATGTTGAAGATTCATTCAATTAAGTGGAATCTTGAATCGGCTATGTGCAGTCCTACCACCCATCATCAAAAGGGCGGCAATGCCAGATGATGCTACTGCTACAGCAATTTCACCAGATGATCTAACAGTTGCTAGTAAGGTGTTATATAAAAATGTCTTACCAGTACCGCCTGGACCATCTACAAAGAAGCATCCATTTTCATCTGCAATTGCTTGCAGAACAGCATCATATATTGCGCGTTGATCATCATTCAAAAGAGGAACATTTAGATGGACTTCATCTTGAAGTTGTGGGATGTTGTATGATTTTTCTTCACGAATTAACTGATCTAAATCTTCACTATTATTATCAATATTTAAAGTTCTTGATGGAGGAATTGGCATGTCTGGAAAATCTTTTAGTGACTTTCCATTAAGTAAAAGGTAATCTTCCAACTGATAAAGTGCTTCATGTTCAATATCATTAGTTATATCATCACTTTTGAGTTGTAGTATGACACGATGTTGATAGCAAATATCTTCACATAAAGCTAATTTGTGTTTATTCCATAATATTTCAGGATTTACTGGTTGACAAAAAAGAAGGATAGATGCAAAGAGAAGACGCAATTGTCTTCCTGATTGTATGGCACTTGCTTCAAGTAAGCATTCATCCCATTCATTATCATCTTGAAGAAGAGACAGGCAAATGCAAGTCTCTTTGAATGTTTTACATGTATATCCATTAACAGTTTTCAGGTCATTAAAGCTGGTCGGACCTTTGACATAAGCAAGTAAGGTGCGAAGATAATATCTTTCTCCCTCTGATGGCTGCACCATATAAAGTCTTCCTATCATAGTTGTGGAAGTTTTACGGGGTTTCCACTTATGGAGCGACAAATCCCAAGTATAGTGAATAGGAAACTCAATATATGTATATGCTCGTGCTGCAGGATTTTCCATATTTTCTTGGAAAAAAGCTGTTAGTGTTGTTTTACGTGAGTTAGCACGTTCTATAACATTTTGAAGATTTTCACCATCTTGAAAAGTTACATATTGATGATCTGGAAGATGGACTGCAAGTCTTTGTACCTTTGGAGAACGACCATGCATCCTGTAGTGAAAAATCCTCCAAATGCTTTCTGAAGCTGATACGTATCTTGCATCTAGGTACATCTTGATCTCATCCATTGGTTCAGCTTGGTTTAAAATTTGACTATTATTGTAATCAGATTGAGAAAGAGTTATTGTTGCTCGATCATGACCCTTATAGACGTATTTATACAGGTATTTAATGGATAATATAGAACTGCAAATTTCCACATTAATATGAGCATTATACTTTGTAATTAAATTAACATTATGTGGTACAACCCATCTATTATCTAAAGACACATTTTTAGTATTAATAATACGGCCATTATCACGTCTGCGATAAATAGGGTATCCATTGTTATTTTCTTGAGTTTCATCACAAAAATTCTTGGGGTAGTGTTTTTGACATACACCATCTTTCATACATGGTGCAGTTGGATTCAATACACCACATGGACCATGTATCATCATGGTTGATACAGTCTCATAAGCAAGTGGATATGTTACAGGATTTGGAATTTCAGCAGAAACAATAGAGTTATAATCCTCTGTAGATCGTAATTTACTCTCTGGAGCCAGTATTAGCAAGAAGTGAGCATGAGGCAAACCACGTTTTTGAAACTCTATCACATATATATATGCAATAACTTTACCAAGACAATGGTTATGCAATAGATCTTTTAGCAACTCCTGTAATTTCATGTGAAAAACGCGAGCTGTTAAATCTGGCCTATCAACAGCACTTTGATGAGGTAATAGTTCTCTTGTAATTTCAGGCCATCTGGGGTTACATGTGAAAGTTACAAAGAGATCAGGTTTTCCAAAGCGGCTCACAATGAACATTGCATCCTGATAGAGTTGATACATTTGGCGTGGACCACCAGCAAATGAGGATGGAAGAATAATACGACGACCAACATTGGAATTGTCATTAGCATGTATTGCATCCATAACACCATTATACAAATCAGTCCGAAGTGTGGCTTGATTATGTTTAAGGTAATTTAAACGATTCTGCTCAATCTTTGCATACTGATCAACAATGTATTGCTGATACAAACGGCCAGCATTTTGAATCCAATCTCCATCTCTAATCTGTAACCTGTAAGAGTAAAATTGCATTGCTGTTACTCTTTCTCAGTTTACAGAGCCTATTAGGGGGACATCCACATGCCAACCATCATCACCTCTTGGAAATAATAGAACATAATGAAGGGGATCATATGATGGATGAATTTCGGATATTCTTTGTAGATTCCCATCACGCATTTTAAGAAGAATGTCACGATTAGCTGTATGTAACTCATGACCATCACCAACCATAATTGCAGCAACTTCAGAGGCTGTAGGGGCATTGTAACGACGTAAATCTTGTGTTCGATCAGCATAAATAACCATAAAAATTTCATCAGGTACGTTTGTCTGGATAAGGTCTCTTACATGACGAAAATTTTGGATGTAAGGGTTGCATTCATCCATCATGTTTAGCAGATTCAATAGAATTTTCTCATCTAATTCCTGCATAACGTTATGGCGGTTTTCAATTTCATGCACAGAGTCATAAATGTATAATTGAGCAAATGCTGGCTGGTGACCTTCCTCTGGCAGCAATGGTCCAATCCGGTGATAAACCTGGCCATGAATACGGAAATTAGAAATACCTTGGCCGTGAAATGTATCTATATTTGTGCCAAAAGAAGTGCAAGCCAAAACATTGTTATAGCGCCTAATGTTTTTGCGAAATGAGATTGCATCAGATTCAGATGAAGTATATAGATTCAGCAAATACGATGGTGGCTCAGTCAAAGGCAGCAAAAGAACTTTGCCATGGGCACAGCAAATTGAAAAAGTTGGAAATGTGCGGTTGCTACTATGATTCTTTTCCTCCATCCAAAATTTCGCACCACAATGGACACAGATCTGATCAATTCGTCCTAAGTCATGACGTGGTATACATTCTAATTTATCTGATATTTCTCTTTCATTATTATTACTTTTTCTGGATCGGGCTTTCCTCTCTTTCGTTAACCTCTTTTGACGTAGATCCAATGGTTCATATGCTTCTTGTCCAGAAGGAATCTGAGTTTCAGATGGGTAATTGTTATTCTTGATGTTTTGTCTTTTTATCAAACGGGCTTGTCT